TTTGCTGTGTGGCCTTCAGGGAATCAATGAGCTTCCTGAGAGAGTTCAGCTGCACCTCAGTGGAAGTGGTGTAGAATTTCCTACCCTTGGCAACCTCATGCCCCAGCCAACAGAGCCTGGACAGGAGGAAATTCTCCTCCTCCTCTAGGTCCTGGTGCAGGTGCTTGAATTCCATGAGGATCCTTCTCCTCTCAAGCTCTACCTGGGCCTGTGCCTGGATAAAGAAATGAGAGGGTCTTTCTAGCCCACTATTCACTTTAAAGTGTATAAAGTTTATAGTGAGAACCAGTGCAGAACAGCGTGCTGTGGCAGCAGGAAAGCAGAGGTGAGAGCAAACTTTAGAAGTACTTCCTATGCTTTCAGTTTTAGGTTACAATATGTTTAATCACATTTATGTTCAAGGACCTGAGTGTCTAAAACTCACATTTCCAGAAGGCTTATCAATTTGTAATCTGCTGTCATGTAGATTTTTTCCTTGGGTACACACACACAAGAAAAGGTGACAGTGTTGGTTGGTGTTACAATTGTTCTTTTCTAATTGGAGAATCAGTCTCTAGTTAGGACCTGGGAGGGCAGAGCATGGTTTTAAAAACCAGTATTTCCCATTCCCAGACCAGTATGGGTTTTCCTTACACCACCTGTGGGCAGGTGGAGGAGAAAAGCTGCTGTGCTAACCCAAGGCAGGGGTGCAGGTGCTGCAGGGTAGACAGGTTAAGTGCAGCAGTGCAGCCAGGGTGTGGACACCTAACCCTGATGCCTCCTTCTGGTATTTCTTTCTTTCTTTCTTTCTTTCTTTCTTTCTTTCTTTCTTTCTTTCTTTCTTTCTTTCTTTCTTTCTTTCCTTCCTTCTTCCTTCCTTCTTCCTTCCTTCCTTCCTTCCTTCCTTCCTTCCTTCCTTCCTTCCTTCCTTCCTTCCTTCCTTCCTTCCTTCTTTCTCTTTCTTTCTCTCTCTTTCTTTCTTTCTTTCTTTCTTTCTTTCTCTCTCTCTCTCTCTCCTTCCTTCCTTCCTTTGTTTTTGTGGGACTGGTTTTTGAACTCAGGGCCTAGTGCTTGCAAAGTAGGTGTTCTATCGCTTAGACATGCCTATAGTCTCTGATGCCACCTTCTAGGTCTGTCCCAGCCACTAACATGTTCCACCTGCAGTTGGTCCAGCTCTGTGCAATTTTTTTTTGTCACAGTGTCTTTTTTGGAGGGTTGGTGTGATAAGAGATTCTAGGAGCATGGGTAGAGATGTTTCTGCTTTCAAGGACCGTGGATGGGATGGAGGTTTTTCTTACCTTGAACACATCCACCTTCTGTTGACCTTATGTCTTATCCAGTATAATTTCTTTCTTCTTTTGCAGCAAGACCTCCATCTGTGACTGTGGGGAGAGGGGTCTTTGCACAGGCTGAGCTTGGAGTTCTCTCTGCCTCTTAACACCCTTGTCTCTCAGGAGAGCAGATGAGACTGTCTGGAGGGGTGGGGGCTCCTGCAATTATTGATAGACTCCCCCATTCTTTCTCACAATGGCGGAGGGAAAGAGTGATGGCAAGTTAGAGATCTGGAAATTAGTGACCTAAAAGTAAAGAATATTGTTGTTTATGACTAACTATAATTAATAGTTGGTCGTACTTTGGGATTATCAAATGACTCTCACAAACTTCCCCTCAAACTTTTCCCTCACACTAGCAACAAATTTAAGGCACAGGTTTTGTAGTTTTGTTTTTTTTTTAATTTTGTTTTGTTTTTTTGGTAGTACCTGGCATGGAGCCCAGGGCCACAGATGGTAGGCAAGAATGCTTCCTGGTTGCCCTTCCAGCCTTGTTTGCCCCTTTTGAAAGGTGAGGCACTGGTTGAGGACACAGCTCAGTGGTAGAGCATTTGCTTGACTACCATGTTCCAGGTCCTGGGCTCCATCTTCAGCATGGTGGTGGTGACTGGTTCAGAGAGGTAAAATCATTACTTGTAAGACACACATAAACTCAAGAGGCTGGACTTGAACCGAAAACACAAATTCTGACCATTCTCCCTCCTGTCTTGATTGCAGCATTTGCCAGACACAACTCTTTGAACCCACTGTGCCTGACTCTGAACTGCTCAGTCAAGTGCAAGGGATGGGGCCATGGGTGTCAATCAACTGGAGCAGGTGACAGTTCTCAAATCCCCTCTGAATGCCTCTGATGGGGGAGGGAGAGGCATGAAAAAGGGGTCCTCAAATGCCTACTTGATAGTTCTGGGCAGCTTCTTCTATGAAACTAGTATTATAGGATTTGTTGTCCTTATAGAGTGATGACACTGTGAGGGAAGCAATGACAGACTTGACTCCATTTGGATGAAAGAGGCATTTTAGCAACATACATGTAAAGAGACTAGAGAAATAACAAGCCTCTCACCAAAATAATAAAATGCAGGCCAGAATGAACAGGCCAGACCGTCTACAAATATTATAAGGAGGAGGACAGATCAGTGGTCCAGTTCATTGAGAAACTGATTAAGCATCAACCAATCAAAATGTCATTTCAAGGTACATAGTAGGACCTAAGCCAAGCAGAGCCCTGTATCATTCCTAGACTTCAGCTATACTATGGCTTTAGCTTTCCTAAGCTCCTCCCCACTCTTGGGAGCTTTTGCTGTCCTTTCAGAAATCTCTGTGCTTGCTGTACTCTTAACTCCAGGTTCTGTGTCTTCAGTCATAGACTACTCCAGGACAAGAACTCGGAATCAACAATCCAGTATCAACATAACACACAGAGGAACTCTCCATTGTGCTCACAGACGTAATGGAAACTTTCCCCATGCCTCTGACATTTCCCCTCTTCTACTTCTGGTTGGATCTTAGCAAGATCAACAGCTTGGACTTGCCAACAGCCAGTTGTGCCTGAATGTGGTCTTATTTACAGAATTCAGGCAGAGGGGACATTTGAAAAAACTGTGTGATGCTTCCCCAATCTGAGAAATGCACGTGAAACAGAAATTGTACCCGCAGCCAATGGTGACAGGCTCCTTTAGAATGTCCACCCCAATGGGGTAGACCAGTACTTCCTACAATGTGCTGGAGAGCTGCTGGCTGACCATCACTGATCACTGGGGCTATTTCCAGTTTTGAAAGTCTCCAGGTCTGAGATGGACACTGCTTCTAGAGAAAAGGAAACAGAGGAAGTAGAGGTAAGAGATTCTACCAATTAGAGGAACAGGGAGAAGGAAAATGAAGATGGAGAAATGATAAGAAACAGTAAAAATTCAAATGTAGCAAATGTTACAAAGAGAGAAAATCACAGGCAATCCTACCTTACTACCTCTTAGGAACAAATGGACATAGTGAATGAATGTATGCTGAAATGAAATGGGTTAGGTTCTGAACTTTGAGCTAATTAAAGATATGTTGACAAAGCAGTTGACTGTGGTTGATATTTCCTTCAGTCTCTTTTAGTTTGTATGTTTCCCTTTTCTCCTTCCCTCCCAGCAACTACATTTTTTCACTCGTGTATAATAGTTGTACAAAGGACCCAACAAGGTCTTCTTTTGGTGAAGAAAACTAATTCTTTGTTCTGTAAATTCTCCCAAACTGGGATCATCACACTGCATCTCCATGGTGTTGTTAACATGATTCTGATAGACTGGGATCTGATGGGTTTTCAGTTGGCCCTTTTTGTGACCAAAACCAATAAATAAATTTTATTATTTTAAAAGAACCCACAGTGTAAGTTTATATTGATTTTCTTAATCAAAGTTAAGATTACTATGCATACTTCTCTTTTTATGTCATATTCATAAAACTGTATTAGCAACATTAATGCAATTCATTATTTGTTTTATCCTAGTGTGTGCATACACTCAGACCTAATAGGTTCAAAATAACAACACTAAAGTTATTATTACTGATATAACTGAAAAATTAAGATTTGTGTGTTATTATTTTGTCCTTAGCATATACCCTGTGGAGGACATAGAGTCAAATCTCGCCCTGTTAAAGTCACTTTTTTTTTTTTTAGTGGTACTGGGGTTTGAACTCAAGGCCTCATGCTTTTGAAGCAGGCACTCTACCACTTGACCACTCCAGCAGCCCTACTTTTTTTCTTTTTTTGGCATGGGGTCTTACAATGCTTCTCCAGAAGTCTCAAGCTTTTGGGCTCAAGGGATCCTCCTGCCTCACCCTCCTGAGTGTCTGGCACTACGGGCCCACACCACCAGCCTGGCTGAAGTTATTTAAAATAACTTCTCTCTGGTGTGTAAGCACCAATTACACAGACAGATTCATTTTGTTTAATTTAATTTAATGATGTAAAACATTTACATGGTATCGAAGTGAAATGTACAAGATACATAGAAAGGCCTAATTTCCACCTAGCTTTCACTTCCCCTATAAGAAACTCTTTATCAGGTTTGGTTTATCCTTTTACTTAAAAAGAGAATTATAAACAAACAAGTATGTGTACATACAAATCTATTCCCTGTACTGTAGGTTGAGCTGTAGGCTTTGTATGCAGGTGCTCTACCACTTGAGCCACTCTACCAGAACATATTCCTCTTTTTTAAAAATGTGAAATGTACATGGTTCCCTCTTTCCTTTTTCAGTGCAACCACGGAGGTCATCCTATAATTATATACAGTCCTCATGTGAAAAATGGTTTTGTGGACTTTGGTTGATTCTGAATATGAAAGTCATGGTTTTCAGCTGTTAGGAAAAGATAGGGTCTAATTGGGGCAAGGCCACATTCGGCGTCACGGGACTGCAGAAAATGAGGTGGAGGAGAAAGGAACCGCCTGGGGTCAGCTGTTCGTTCCCCTGCATCTGTGTCTGAGTCGGGATGCAGCTGGATGCTTTTTCCTCACGGCTTTTTCACCAATTACCTGTTGATGGATGTTTGAGCTGCTTCCTGCCTTATCCTGTTACAAACAGTGCTGTAGTGAATAGCCTTGTGCATAGTCTTTTTGGGTATTGAGACTTTCTTTTGGACTGGGCATATTGAAGGGAAGACAACATTTAAAACCAACATCAGGAAGCCTAACTTCGACCCTACCAGCTGCAGCACAGGAAGAACTCTAGGGACTCAAGGTGATCTGAGTGCCAGGCAACAAGAGCCGGAAAAAGGGAAAGATCTGCCCAGGGAAGGAGGCGAGAAATGTGTAAATGTGATTGCTGGTGGTGGCATCGTAGAAGACGACCTTCCCGCAGTCGTGATCCACGTGGACGCCCACTTTCCTTGGACAGAAGAGCAGTTTCTCCCGGGTGCCTCTCTCAGTGAGGGCATGACAGGTGGAGCCAGAGATGCGCAGTGCCCAGAAGCCAGACAAGGGTTCCAGTGGCAGATAGCCCCGCCTGGGGACGAGCTCCAATGCCACGCCCACCACGCAGGCCCCGCCCAGGGGTCCTTGGAGCTCCGCCTCCCAGGCCTGGCGCCCTGAGGAAAGGCCAGGTAAACCCAACAAGCAGCAGAAAGGGTAGAAGCGCTCTGGCTCAGTGGGCTCGCTGCAATCACCCCTAGGGACATGGTCCAGTGTCACAGTCTTTAGATCTTTGGAAAGGGTGAGGTCTGGGTGGGCCGAGGTCGCGTCCAAGGTCACAGGGGCTGTGGGAAGATAAGGAAGAGATAGATGTACAACCTCCAGTCCAGCCGGGCAGCCCCCTACTTTTGAGCTTCCTCTGATGCATCTGGGGGGAGGCTTTCCCTTCCCAATCACAGCTCAAGTCCCCAGAGAAGTCTTAGGCCTTGTCTCCTCCTTAAAATTAATCCCTAGTGTCACTATGTGCTGTCCTGTGGGTGCAGAGAGAATGTCCCTACTGGTTGTGGTGGTATTATTTCAAAAATGAGACCATCTCTTTATTCCTTTTTCAGCGGCTCTCTGATTCCAATATGGAAAACAAGAGTTGGGGTTAGTGTGAGATGTTGAAGCTGAGACATTCTGAGCTCAAGTAATTTTCTAAAGTGGGGTCCCTCAAACACATGAATTAGGGGAGGGTTGGAATGCAGAAGGAGGAATATTCAGAACTTCTCACCCCACTTTTCTTAGGATTCAGATAATGAGTCACAATTTATCAAGGCTAGAAGTGTCCCCGTCCATCTTTTCAAAGGTTTGAATAGTGATCGTTCCTGTCTTTGATAAAGATTTAGGAATGGGGAGGGTCTCAGTGTATCCTCTGACTTATTATCTAATCTCAATATTTGCTGCGATATTAATTTTCCCTGATGGCTGTGAGGGTTGGGAGAGATGGATGATGTGGGAAGTGCTACAGAGGTCAGGTTCATGGGATGGATTGGAGTCATATTGCAGGCAGGCCTTATTCATCTCTGGCCCCCATGCACAGCTGAGCTGTTAAATAGTTGTTTAAAAGTAGGGTGGGGAAGGGGACTGGGGAAGCAGAGGAAGGTCATTGTAGGGACTTCTTTTTGCCCCAGGGGACACTTAATCAAAGCAATAAGGACAGGCCAAGCACGCTGGGTGGAGTGCAGGGACAGTCAGTGGTCCTGGGTTGCCTTCCTTCCATTTTGCTCAAGAACGAGATCTTGTCACCTCATCTTCACTGTGGGTACCGGGCCTCTCCCTGATGCTCCACTAGCTCCACCCTACTCTGCCTAATCTGGGCCCCGCCCGCCTTCAGCCACTCACTCAGTGCAGCCCGGAGGTCCTCAGTGCCCCCCGCGTCCTCAGGGCGGGTTCGGTCTCGGGGAACCTCAATGTAAGAGGCCCTGCTTCGCGCCCAGAGTAAAGCTGAAGGGGAGACTGTCGAGCACATAGGCCCCAAACAGGTGGTGGAATGGATTGGGGAGTTTAGTTGTTCCATTGTGGTTGAGGGAGAAGGAAAAGAGAAATGAGAGGTCAGTAGCACAAGTCAGCAACAATCCTCCATGGCCAGACAGTGCTGCTGAGCTCTGGATCCAGCAGCAGGAACAAGGCTAAACAAGAAAGGGGTGAGCCAGTCTGCGGGCCTGGTGTTTCCTGGGAGGTGTACTTTGGGAGGTAGAGGAGGTGAATGAGATGTTTGCCCCCACCCCATGTCTGCCCAGGCCACCTCTGGCACCTGAAGTCTTCTACAGCAATAGTTTCCACAACCTCCTCTCCTCACCCCCAGTCTCTTGGATGGTCTCTCCAAATCCATCTTTCTACTCTTTCTTGTTTCCTTTCCTCTTAGATGAGAACAGAGAGCATTCATTCATTCTACCCTCTTTGGCCAGGGAGAGGGATCTGCATGTTAGGAAGTTCTTTCTGCAGTCTAGTCTCTACCTTTCCCTTCAGTATCAGTCCAGTGCATTCCCCACCATGCTTTGGGTAGAGCATTTTGACCTGCAGACCTGGTTCCCCTCACTACCCTCCAGGGAGACTCCAGTGTGCCAGCAGGACTCCTACCTGAAGAGGATGAGTCTGGATTATTTTTCTCTAACAGGCACCCTAGGAATTGAAGAGAAAAAACTTATTTTGGTCTGGATGACAGGAACTGCATATCAAACACTCTGCTGCTATCAGTAACAATGGACAGTGGTTCTAGGTGGGGACCATTTCCCCCTTCATGCAGAAGTATGGAGGTTGTGTCCATGACAGTTGGAGGGAGTACCCTACTGGCCCAAATGCTGGGACCTTGGGTGTCAAACACTCTCCTCTTGTGGACAAACACTGGCAGAATAGAATTCCTAAATCCTCATCCCTAAAGCCTGATCTCTGGCTCTGGTATGGAGAAGGTAGTTCAAGGCTTTGGAAAATGAGTCCCAACTTTGTCCCTTTCACTTAATCATCACATGACCTGCGAAATGTACCTCTCCCTCTTGCAGCTCCAGGGACCTCACTGTAAATTATCTTGGAGTATAATTGTAGAATTTTAAAATATGGGCTGTGGGATGTTCAGACATGGGCCTTTAAAAAATGGTACTTCTAGGGGCTGTTGGAATGACACAAGTGGTAGAGTGCCTGCCTAGCAAGCATGAGTTCAAACCCCAGTACCACCAAAAAAAAAAGAGAGAGAGAGAGAGAGAGAAAGAAATGATACTTCTAATGTTATTATCACAAGACAGAGCCATCTCTCATGACATCACAACAGGCTGTTATGACAGAGGGTCTCCATTCCTCAGCTGTCCTCACCTCACATCAAGAGGAGTCTCTCCAGAACCTAGCTGTGCCCAGGACATCAGCTAACACTACAGAGACTGAGCTGCTCCACATCCTCCTTGCCCACTTTCCCTTCTCTGATTCTGAGCAATGAAGAAATAAATTTTATTACTTTTGAATGTTTTTGAACTTTGTATTGTTTTATCTCTGTGTTGTGCATTGCCTCAGTATAAAGTAATAATACACATCCACATAAGCTTGTTGTTCTCAGTTGGTTTACTTGCCATTCACCCATTTGGGGACTCATGTTCCCATACAGACAGAATTCTTCCTCTTTGCATTTCTCACTTCCCCAAATGGCAGAAAGCAGCCACCAGTCCCCACTTACAGTTTTTCTTTTCCTTTTCATCCATGCCTTTGAGGAATCTGCTTTTATCATTCTTTCTAACAACCTGGAGTTTGTCTAGGGGAAGAAATGGAAGGAAATGAAGAGTCAGAGAGGTGAAACAAGGAAATCTGGATCACACAGGGAGGCAATGATTTGAAATGCCTGGGAGAAGTGGGACCTGGATATTTTCTCATATCTTTTCTCTCATATTCCCTCATATTCTCACTGTTGGTAGCCCAGGCCTCTCCCTGATGTTCCACTCCTTCAACAGGACCAAGAAGGTACAAAACACTGAGAGATGCCCTTTGGGCTTCCCTGCGGTGGCTCTCTATCCCAGCACTGTCCAGAAGAAGTACAGAAAGATTAAAAAATGTGAATCACTTAATTTTAAATTTTCTTTAAGTCACATTTAAAAAGCAAAATGAGCCAGTGGCTCATGCCTGTAATGCTAGCTTCTCCTGATGCAGGGATTAGGAGAATGTTCATTGGAGGTCAGCATGGACCAATAGTTCAGGAGATCCTATCTCCAAAATACCAAATACAAAAAAGTGATGGCAGAGTGTTTTAAGTTGTAGAGCACCTGACTACCAAGCGTGATGCTCTGAATTCAAACGCCAGTCCTAACAAAAAAAGGTAAAAACAGCTGGGAATGTTGGAGCACACCTGTAAGCCCAGCAATTGGGAGGTGGAGGTAGAAGGATAATGAATTCAAGGCCAACCTGGGATACATAGCAAGTTCCAGGCCAGCCTTGGCAACACAAGAAGATTCTGTCTCAAAAAACAAAGTAAAAAAGTAAGAGGGGGGTCCCACTCCCCTGATACCTGGATGGCAGTACTACCCTGCTCCCTCTGAAAGAGAGCTTGAGGGAGAAAGGAACAAACTCCTGAAGCAGAAGCATGGTCCCCTTCTCTTTAGTGTGGATATGGACAGCCTGTTCTGTCCATGGCACTCCTGCTGCAGAGGGCAGGACCCAGAGACTCCTCTGTCAAACTAGAGGGTGAGCTAGAAGCAGGGGACAATGGCGCATCCTGACCTGGATTTCTTGTAGCGGTGCAGGACTGAGTGAAGATCTATAGGGTTAAGACATTAGATGAGGGGCTCCTTGGGATGGTGTGTCCCCACCAGTATCCTGATGGCCATAGAGGTAGTTAGAGGAGAATCGTGGGCAGCTCCCCTGAGAGCTGACAGCCCAGCTATGGGAAACATTCAGAAGAGGCCCAGTGACCCTGGGTATGAGTGGGGGGTGTCTGCACACCTAGAGCCACAGGAAACAATGCCTTGGAGCACTTTACCTACTAGGCATTCAGGCACTTTGGGATCCAGGTACCTCAAACTCCAACCCTGGGTTTTCAGACCCATTCATCCCCCTTTAGCAGAGGGAATGGTGGAGACTGGTCCACTGTGATTTCTTATCAACCCCCCATTTCCTCATTCCTTAGGCTTTAATAGGGCCAGGTGGGTGATGGGAGACAGTGTGTGTGTGTTTGTATTAGAGAGAGAGAGACCCTGTGCTGGATGGAACAGCAGAGCAGAGGGTCCCTTCACTGAACTTCTAAACAATAGCTGAACGATTTTAGACTGAACTGACTAAAAGTTTGCTGGATTGGTTGTAGTTTTACTCAGTGGGATGGAAGAGCCAGGCAAAGCTGAGCAGTTACTGCTGAAAAGAAAAGCTCAAACACCAAAGTTGAGAAAAACAAAATACAGTTCCACTTATAGCTGCTTATGTGTGCCTAGTGGAGAGTCCTGGTGAAGGAGTGGGCTGCCCTGGTCCTCCTTGTCCATAGGTGAGGGTAAGTGTTTGTGTGTGGAGGGAGTATAGAGCTCCTGTCATATTTGTAGAAAGAAGACTCCATCCATCTAGAATCTAAGTCTTTGTTGACTAAGTCTCCCGGCTTAGACATCAAAGCCTTTGTGGCAGGGGAGTCCTTACAAAGACCAACCCTGCTTCCTAAATGCAAATCCAGACAAGTTTGTGAAAAATAGCTGACTGAACATCCAAAGTCATTCATTTGTGTTCTGATAATTTGTTTCCTTGAACTGGAAGAAGAGAATTTCTCACAATTGTCATCAACTTTCAATCATTTCTCTCTTCTTCTGTAGTCAGTAAGGCCCAATAGCTGGACATCACACAGTGCCTGCCTGAGGGCCATGGAAAAGCACCACCTGTCTCTTCTTTGGTCCCCAGACAACTCAATGCCAACTTGCTGACAGCCATTGCACTAAGTCTAGGGGACCACTTGGGGAATAAGTCAAGGTCCCCTCTTATAGCTGTCACAAGACAATAGAGAAGCAAATAAGCAGCAAATGATGGCTGTAGAGAGAAGAATTTCATGAGAAGGAAGAAGATTAATGCTTGGAAATGCTCAGCAGAGGGTCTGGCATTTGAAGGACCCAGAAATTATCACTGGCATCATAGTTACAGGTCACTTTCTATGAGGTAATGGGCAGAGAATTCCCTAGTGTAGATGAATGGAGAAGGTGAAGCCCTTATTTTACCTTTGAATTTCTTCAGGCTGTCTGTGATGGAAGCATGACTTGATTTTGATTCACTGAGTTTCTTCTCCAACTCCACAGGAACTGGGGTTGGGTTGAGAAATCGAAATCCTTTGCTCCTACAAAGATATAGCTAAGGTGGTGAGGGATGGAGGGCCAGTGACATGGACATGTGGGATGGAGATCTGGGGTGGATAGGCTTAATGCCAATCAGGAGCTAGTGAGCTGGGAGTCTGGAGGCCAGGACTAGGGATACGGGGCCTGAGTGAGGTGGGACATGAGGAAAGGTGGAAATGAAGACGGTAGATGGAAGTAGAGAGAACAGAAGGGAAAGGGGTCAGGAGATTGAGTAGTGGACCCAAGACCCAACCAGTTGAGCATGGTGGCATGAAAGAGGAGCCAGGAAATAGATTTTGTGCTAAAGAACCAGGAAGCTGGAGAAAACAGCTGGTCTTTGTACAAACCAACCCATGTGTCATGTGCTCAGTTTAAGCATTCCCAAATGCAGCTTCAATAGTTGGCTGCAAATTTTAGTGTGCGAGTATTTGTGAGGAGGGATTGTGGAGTGCATTTGGACTTATTTGAATGCTGTATAAATGAGTGAATTAGTAGGCAGAATGCACTGGAAATTTCATACCTGCATAGGAGAGCTTTTACATCCTAGACAAGAAAAAGAGAAAGAAATAGTACAGCATCAGTTCTTGCCTAAATCATGGGAGTCAAGGATATTCTAGCCTTCTTGGAAGTTTTCTCTCTCTCTCTCTCTCTCTCTCTCTCTTTCTTTTTTTTCTGACACACACACACACACACACACACACCATGGAATGCTGCTTCAAGAAGCACCTAATATACCAGTAGCCAGGACAGTGGTTAGACCTCAAGAGGAAATGAATAAAGAGAAGAAAGAGTGATATTCTGAAGGTGAAGTTTGTCCTTGAGATAGAGCCAAAGGAGCCCTGTAGCCAGTGTCATGAGAAAGGCTGGAATGGCTTTGCAGTGTATTCCTTTAAAGCATGAAATGACACTTGAACCAATGAGATTAAGAGATGAATTCAGGAGGAATTATCTCAGCCTATGTGGCTACTGTACACTTTACACATGGCTACTACAAAACTTGTGTTAGAGCTCAAAGACTCAGTACCAAGAAGAACCCAAGTATGTAAAATATCTCAATACTTAAAAAAATGTTAATTGCAGCCAGTGGTGATGGCTCACACCTGTAATCCCAGCTACAGAGGTGGGTCTCCATTAGGGACACTGCCCTTCCCCTGCCACAAGAAAAGGCAACCCATCTCAACTAGTAAAAGCTGGGCATGGTGGCTCATGCCTGTCGTCCCTGCTACGAGGGAAGTTTAGATAGAAGGTTGGGGTCCAGGCCAAGGATAGACCTTATTTGAAAAATAATAGGCCAGGAGCTGTGACTTCTGCCTGTTCCTAGCTATTCAGGAGGCAGAGATTAGGACGATTGAGGATCAAAGCCAATTCAGGCAAATAGCTCAGGACCCTATCCTGAAAATACACAACACAAAAAAGGGCTGGCAGAGTGGCTTAAGTGGTAAAATGTCTGCCTAGCAAAGATGAGGCTCTGAGTTCAAACCCCAGTATCACAAAACTAAAAATTTACTACAGCCCAAAATGATAACATTTTGGGGTACACTGCATTAAATAAAATATTTTTTACATTAATTTTACCTGCTGCTTTTTACCTTTTTAATGTGGACACTAGAAAAAAGTTAAATCACATATGCCAGTTAAAATATATTTCTAAATTACATATGTGCTTAAAATACATTTTTAAATTACATATATGACTTAAGATATATTTCTAAATTATATATGTAGCTCACATTATTTTTTCCAAATGATATGTGGCCCATAGTACAATTCAAAGTTGTAGTGTGGTTCACATGCTTCTTTTGGACAGCTCTGGGCAAGATTGGGGTAGTGTATGTTTGGGGCAATCTCAGGTAATCTGCCAGGTGGTCCATGATCTGGCCTGAGACTAAGGATGGGCTGCTGCCTGTCTGCAGTTCTGCCCCCAGGAAACTCACCCTCAGCATCTGTCTGAGTGGCATTTGCTGTGTGGCCTTCAGGGAATCAATGAGCTTCCTGAGAGAGTTCAGCTGCACCTCAGTGGAAGTCGTGTAGAATTTCCTACCCTTGGCAACCTCATGCCCCAGCCAACAGAGCCTGGACAGGAGGAAATTCTCCTCCTCCTCTAGTTCCTGGCGCAGGTGCTTGAATTCCATGAGGATCCTTCTTCTCTCAAACTCCACCTGGGCCTGGGTCAAGGGAAGAGGATGCAGAGATGAGAGGGTCCTTCTAGCCACTATTCACTTTTAAGTGTATAAAGTTTATAGTGAGAACCAATGCAGAACAGCCTGCTGTGGCAGTCCATAGGAAAGCAGATAAGAATGATCTTTAAAAGCATTTCCTATCGTTTGGTTTTAGATTACATTATGTTTTATCACTTTTGCGTTCAAGGACCTGAGTGTCTAAAACTCACATTTCCAGAAGGCTTATCAGTTTGTAATCTAATTTCATGTAGATTTTTCTAGGACACATCAAAAATGAAAATAAGAGCCAGGTACCTGTGGCTCACGCCTGTAATCCTAGCTAATCAGGAGGCAGAGATCAGGAGGATCGTGGTTTGAAGCCAGCCTCAAGCAAATAGTTTGATGAGAGATCATATCTCGAAAAAAATCCATCACAAAAATAGGGCTGGTGGAGTGGCCCAAGGAGAAGGCCCTGAATTCAAGCCCCCAGTACGGGAAAAAAAAAAACAAAAATAAAAACAAAACCAAAAACCAAACAAGCAAACAAAACAGATAAAGGTGTCGGATGGAGTTACAATCTTTCTTTTCTCCCTGGAGAATCAGTCTGTAGTTAGGACCTGGGAGGGCAGAGCATGGTTTTAAAAACCAGCATTTCCTATTCTAAGATCAGTGTTGTTTTTCCTTATACCACCTGTAGGCAGGTGGAGAACAGAAGCTGCCCTCCAGCTCTGCAGTTCAGCCAGGGCATGAACAATCTAACCTTGATGCTACCCTGTAGGTCCATCTCTGGCCCTAGCCTGTTCCTCCTGCACAGGGTCCTGCTCTGTGCCATTTTTCTTCATCACTGGGTCTTTTCCAGAGCATCAGTGTGATAAGGGATTCTAGGAGCATGAGAAGAGATGCTTCTGCTTCTGGGACTATTTTTCTTACCGTGAAGACATCAATTTTCTGTTCCCCTCCTATCTTCTCTTGCATAATTTCCTTCTCCTTTTGCAGCAAGACCTGCACATGTGACTGAATCTGCCCCTGTGGAGAGGAGACATTTTGGGCAGGCTTGTCTGGAATTCCTTCTGCCTCATAACATCCTCATGGTCTCTTAGGGAGGCAGGTGCGATTCTCTGGAAGCGGTGGGTCTAGTGTAATTATTTAATAGACCCCCTTTTCTCACAGTGGAGGAGGGGTGGGTGATGGGAAGAGAGAAATCTGGAACTTTAGCGGCTTTAAAGAAAAGAATATTGTAATTGGTATTGATGATAACTATTTCAGTGGTTCTTTGGGATTATTAAATGACTCCCACAAACTTATTCTCATCAACTTTTTCCAGCAACAAGTATAAGAGATAGGCTTTGTTCATTTCAATTGCTTGCTTTCCCCTGCCTCCCCGTGCTGAGCTTGGAACCGAGGGCCTCATACATGGCAGCCAGCATGTGCTCTACCACTGAGCTACGTTCCTGGTTCTGTTTGTCCCAGTTGTAAGGTGAGGATCAGAACTGGAGTTTATAACTCTGTGGTTGAGCATTTACCTAGCTAGCATGTTCCAAGTCCTGGGCTCCATCGTCAGCATAGTGGTGCTGACTGGTTCAGGGAGGTAAAATAATTTTTGGAGGTCATACATAAACTTAGGATTCTGGAGTTGAATCCAAAAGACAAATTCTGACCATTCTCTTTCCTTCCTTGATTGCAGCATTTGCCGTACTTAGCTCTTTGAATCTACTGTGCCTGACTCTGAACTGCTCACTCAAGTGCAAGGGGTGGCCAATGGATACCAACCAAATGGAGCAGGTCACAGTTTCCAAACTCCCACTGAACTCCTCTGATTGGGGGTAGAGGCATGCAGAGAGGGGTCCCAAATGCCTACCTGATAATTCTGGGCAGCCTCTTCTATCAAGCTACTAGAATGGAATTTGTGGTCTTTAGATTCACGACACACCACACAGAGGAACTCTCCATCATGTTCACAGAAGTAATGGAAACTTTCCCCATGCCTCTGACATTTCCTCTCTTCCACTTCTGGTTGGATCTCAGGAGGATCAACAGCTTGGATTTTCTCTACCAGACTTGCCAACAGCCAGTTGTGCCTGAATGTGGTCCTCCTCACGGAATTCTGGCAGAGGGGACACTTGAGAGTACCGTCTGGTGCTTCCCCAATCTGAGAGATGCATGTGAGGCAGAAATTGTGCCCGCAGTCAATGGTGACAGGCTCCTTCAGAATGTCCTTACAGATGGAACAGACCAGTTCTTTCTGCAGTGTGCTGGCGAGCAGCTGGCTGGCCATGACTGAGCAGCACGGCTGTTTCCAGTGCTGAAATTCTGAAGGCGTGAGGTGGAACACTGGCACTAGAGTAAGAGAAGGAAACAGAGGAGATGGAGATCGTAGATTCTACCAATTATAGAGACAAGGAGGGAGGAAATGATGAGGGATGAAAAAGTAAACAAATGTTAGAAAAGAGCAAAAATTCAAATGCAGGGAGTGCTATAAAGAGAGGCAATCCTACCTCACTACCTCTTGAGAACAAATGTATATGGCGAATGTGTATATGTTGCTTTTACAATGCACTAAAATGGTCTGGACCTTGGACTATTTAAAGATATGCTTATATGGCAGTTGACTGAGACCAAAGTTCTCATGTCAAAGTCTACTCAAGAAGGACTTCCTGTCAGCTTCAGCTTGAAGTGGAATGCCTGACTGGCACTTCCCAAAAGTTTCTCGACTCTGGTGGATATTTTATTTCCCCACAGCACCTGTAGCAGTCTTCCTCTGTTAGGTTTTTTTACCCCATATGTCTTCAGTACTCTGCTGCCCTGTGACCATTCTTTGCTTTGTTTCTCTTATGTACGTGTCCTCCTTTGTGGTGCTTCTGATCCCTGAGTTATCCATGGCCTTTGTCCTGACAGGAAAATACCCACCAGTGTCACCTCAACCACCTTCTACAGCTCAGCACATTCATGTCTGAACCCTTTCTCCTTCCCTCTTGTCTCAGGAGAGAAGACAACTCTTCCCATATGTCTGGTTGTATCTTCCACCCTCCCCACCCTCTCTACAGCATCTGCCATGTATTTCCACCAAGAAGCACAGTCGATTAATTTTTATCTGGTCTCAATCTTAGGTCAACAGGGATGGTGAGTGATTTTATAACTATAGCCAGGGTGATTTTTACATTCTGCTTTCCCTGGGACAGTCCTGGGCTTCACCTTTGTATGGGTGTATATATCAATAGCTCGTTCTTTCATTCTAAAAGATGTCCAGTTTGGCTGGTAAATTATGTAATTACCCTCATTATAGCAACCGTGGAAGCCAAATACTTTCAGAAATATTATATCTCCCAGACATTTCTGTTTGTTTTAAGGTTAATTTAAAGTATATATGTGAATTTTTACTCTTCCTAAAATGCTGGCCCTGGAGGTTTTGTTTGATTGGTATAGTGATTTAACCAAGAATGACACTTTGAATGCCTTTAGAGAGGGTGGTTATTTTCCCCAGCATTCCCTATTACCTCATGTCTCCCCAGTCCCTGAAGGCATTTCCTTACAGACTTCTTTTGAATATAATATTTCACGAAAGTCTCATGTGTAAATTTTCTCTGTCTAGGAAACTGAGTATGTTTCAGAATCACTTAGAGGGTTTGTTAACACAGATTCATGAGCCCAGTTTAAGACTCAATTTCAAACAGGCCCATGGTAAATCTGAGACTTTTCAGTTTAAGAGAATTCCCAGGAGAAGTGATGTTGCTACCCATTGAGAACCAATAGTTTAGAGAGACCACATCTTGTTCCTCCTGATAAGTAAGAGAACTGAGACTTGATCTCAGGTTTTCCATTCCAAGCCAATGCATTTCTTCTACAGAGCATGAATGAAAACACTGGTGGTCTTTAAAAACTATAAAAAATCTTTTCAAATAACAGTTGGTATTTCACTGAGACTGGGCAAGCCAGCAGAGAAGGGAAGTACTCAGAAGAACACCAGTGGAGAGTTTCAAACTCATGGAATAGGTAGAACTGACACCTCCAGTATTGTGGTGGGGATTTAGACATGAAAGGAGAATATGTAGTGGTGCACAGATGGTTTACCCTCCTGTTATGCTTGGAGGGTATCCATCCACTGGATCAGTAGCCTGAACCAAAATGCCTCTAATTTGCAATGCTTGAGCTCTTGAAAGAGAGCTGATACTGTGTGTTAGTTCCAGAGAGTTATAACTTTCAAGCATAGAGTTTATAAAAAACCTACTTGAGGACCAGGTGTTGTAGCTCAGGTCTGTTATCCCAGCTACGTGGGAGGAAGATATAAGAGTATTGTAGTTCAAGGCCTGCCAAGAAAAAAATATTAAGGCATTCTTATCTCAAAAAACAATGCAATCATAGAATCTGTTATCCCAGAAGGAAGAGGTAGGAAAATTGATGTCCAAGGCTGCTTCTGGTAGAAGCTGGAGAGCATAACTGAAAAAAAACTAAAAGCGAAAGGCTCCAGTGTGACTCAATAATAGTGTGCTTGTGCAAGGCCCTGAGTTTCAACCCCAGTATTGCTGATGAAAAAAAACTCTACCAAATGAACATCTAAGATAATAATTATGAAGAAGAATATAGGAAGGGTGGCAAGGCTCCAGTTTCTGTAGGATGGTCAAAATGGGCAGAAGAAGGTGATAATCAGGCACCAGTTTGAAGGTAGTTAACAGCAAAATGTCAGCAGTTATATAACTGCTAGTTGGTAAAATTAAGGCTATTTTCTTACATACTTTCCTGCATATATATATATATATATATATATATATATATATAATATAAAACATTGTAATATATTACAATTAACATACTTTCTTTTACGATTTAAAAAAGTCACAATAAAGAAAATAAAGACAAGAACAAAAAATTACAATACGTATCAGTTTTTAGAAAACACCTTCAATTGGCCCCTATTTTCTACAGGATGAAGTGTGAACTCTTCCTCCACAGACCTCCTCCCCTCTCATGTAATCTTGCCTTTAGTCTCAAGTCTGTCTTTTCCAGTCAGATTGATATGCTGTGACCCAGATTAGCCAAGAAGGGTTTCCAGATTCAGCAGATAAAATCACATAACACAAGACCAAGCATGAGAATCATGGGCATTGAGGAAGAAGAGATGCAAGCCAAAGGGATTCGTAATATATTTCAATAAAATTAACACACAGAGAAAATTTCCCAAATCTTAAGAAGTTTTGCTCATTCAGGTACAGAAAAGCCGTAGGACACCAAACAGACTTGACCAAAAGTAGAACCTCCCCATGGGCATATTATTATTAAAAACAACAAGCACAGAGAACAGAGAAAGAACATTGAAGGCTGTAAAAGAGAAAAAATAAATAACATATTAAAGGTAAACCCATTAAAATCACAGCCACATTTCTCAATGGAAACCTTAAGAGCAAGAAGAGCAAGAAGTGAGGTATTTTCAGGCACTGAACAAAAATAATTTCAGTCATAGGATACTCTACCCAGCAAAACTATCATTCAAAATAGATGGAGCAATAAAAAATCTTCCATGAATAAGTAGAAACTAAAACAATATATGACCACCAAGCCACCACTACAAAAGATTTCTATAAGAATTCTGTGCACAGATGATGAAAGCAAACAAAACCATGAAAGCACAGCAATACCAAACCACAGGAGAAGAAAAGACAAGAAAGTAGAGACTAGCATTGATTCAGCTGCACACAATCAAATGCTTAAACAACAAAAACCAAATAACAGAAAACACCACACACCTATCAATGTCAATGGACTCAATTCCCCTATCAAAAGACACGGATTGACAAAACTGGATTAAAAAGAAAGATCCAACAATCTGTTGTTACAGGAGACCCATATCATTGACAGAAACAAGCACTGGCTTAGGTGAAAGCTTGGAAGAAGATTTACCAAGCCAATGGGCCCCAAAAACAGCAGGAGTAGCAATACTTATATCAGACAAAGTAGATTTCAAACTTACATTGATCAAATGAGACAAAGAAGGTCATTCCATACTAATAAAAGGGAAATACACCAAGACGAAATACAATGATCAAACTATATGCATATCAGTGTAACCAATTTCATCAAACATACTCTGAAGGACCTAAAAGCATATATAGACTTCAACACAGTGGTAGTGGGAGACTGTAATACCCCCCATCACCAAAAGATAGGTCATCCCAAACAAAAAATCAATAGAGAAATTCTAGAACAAAATCACACCATAGATCAAATGGACCTAGCTAATGTCTACAGAATATTTCATCCAATATCTGCACATAAACATTTGTCTCAGCAGCTCAGGGAAGTTCTCAAAAAGTTGATATCTTAGGCACAAAGCAAGCCTCAGCAAATATAAGAATATAGAAATAATCCCTGCATTCTATCTGATCACAATGCATTAAAACTAAACTTAACAACAAAAACAATAGCAAAAAACATGCAAACAATTGGAAGCTGAATAACACATTGCTCAATGATCAGTGGTCACAGAAGAAATAGGAGAGGAATTAAAAGATTCCTGGAAGTTAATGAAAATGAAAACACGACCTACCAGAACCTATGAGACACAGCAAAGGCAGTCCTAAGAGAAAGTTTATAGCCATGAGTGCATATATTAAAAGCACAGAAAGATCTCAAATAAATGACTCAATGCTCCATCTCAACTCTTAGAAAAACAAGAACAGGCAAACCCAAAAACAGCAGCGAAGGAGAGAAAAATAAAAACTAAGGGCTGAAATTAATAAAATAGAGACAAAAAAACCATAAAGAGAATCAATGAAACAAAAAGACTGGTTCTTTGAAAAAATAAACAAGATTGACAGATCCCTGGCAAATCTGACTAAAATGAGGAGGGAAAAGACCCAGATCAGTAAAATCAGAAATGAAAAAGGGAAATAACAACAAACACCAAGGAAACCCAGGGAATCATCAGAGACTACTTTGAGAACCTATATTCCAATAAATGGAAAAATCTTGAAGAAATGGACAAATTTCTAGATACTTATAACCACCCAAAACTGAACCAAGAGAATATTAATTATGTGAATAGATCTATAACACAAAATGAAATGAAGCAGCAATAAAGAGTCTCCCAAAAAAGAAAAGTCCAGGACCTGAAAAATTCTCTACTGAATTCTACCAGACCTTTAAAGAAAAACTAATACCAACTCTCCTTAAACTTTCTCACAAAATAGAAAGGAAGAAACACTGCCTAACACATTTTATGAAGCCAGTATTATACTCATCCCCAAAACCAAAGACATCCAAAAAGAACTACAGGCCAATCTCCTTAATGAACTTCGA